AGTCACAAATGGACATACATCAGACCGGCAATATGTCATCATGCCCCAAGTGCCAAGGCTGAAAAGAATAGTGCTTTCACATATGTTAACATGAGAAACTACAATGAAACTAGTAAAAAACGTACTAATAACCAAAGCTTTTGTAGTTGGAAAATGCATTCAGGGATAAGGTTCTGTGAACATGAAGCAAACTGTATTATGTTGTGTTATTCCATGTTTAATTTTACAGGCTTACAGTTTAAAATGTTATGTTTATGTATGTTCATTCTCATGTATTCACATTCTGGCTGTCTCGCCCTAGTTAGGAGAGGTGTTATTCATTGTGCCATGAGTCCACACTAGGAACACAGAATAGCAGTTATTATGTTTATAACCAACTCAGAAGACGTAGACAAATCATACATGCGGAATTTTAGATGACATATGTGACGATGGTATCATATGCGACACCTATTAACCTGCACGTTGATTGGGTAGGACGGACTAAACGGTAGAAAGATATGATCTGCTTTGTATATAAACAATACCGTCAGTCTTAAAATAAACGATAAGAGACACCAGAGAAGTGAAACATGTATCATTGAAGAACTGTCAGTCGTACATGTATATAGAGACGAGTGAATATGGCATGTATCTCGCTGTTACTGCTACATGCTTGGTGCATCGGTTGGCAATAAGATCCAATCTTAAAAGTACTCTCAGACTTGAATGCACTCCTTATCGGTCTTTATGGGCGAATAAGAACATTACGATGAGCGCGTCCACTCCTACATTGTACCTTCGTCTGAAGGTGAACATCCGGATTAACTAAAGCTTTTCACCCCGCCCACCACTACGCAACGCATACGATAACGCGTATACAAGTCAGCGCAGTAACTCCTTCACATAACTATATCATAATACTACCTACCATCTACATATTACCTAGCGCACTCCATGACGAGAACAACATCACAACTTCACAGCGTATACAGTAAATAGTGAAACTTAGTCTAACACGCAAGAGACAAACTAGACTAACATAAAGACAAACTTAAGTCGAAACTAAAGTACAACGTGCACCACTAATACAAGGCATACATTACACCGGTCTCAATCAGCGACAGTTAATATAGCACTGGTAAACGACTATACAAAAATCAATACCAGACGCCTACAACACGACACTCAAGTCAATCAAGCAATCCTAAACATAATCTTCTGGAGAACAGCTGAGGAACCCATGGAATCACTATAGAATACAAATATAGAATGTAGGAGAAAAAATTCACAGTCAAAAATGAACTGGAAATTCGAGCATGGACACGACATGTTTCGTGGTACAAAGTAATGCTAAGCCACCAGAGGCACGGGACACCTAACACTAGGGTGTCAAAGGATAAAAATACTGAGCGATCCCATTCACCTATCACCTCAAGTCTAAGGAAGGTCGTCCCCGCTACAGAGACAAGGCGAGATGAAGGAAATAAGTATTCGGAGACGGAGAAACATAACAGAAACGTCAGTGGAAAGAAGGAGGCAGTATGAGGCTTTTGCCAAGGGCAATTCCACGTCACCACGCGAGTCTCAGCAGAAAGACAGATAGAATAAAGCGGGCTCGGCAAGGAGGTCAGGCTTAATAGAGGGAGAGATCACAAAGGACATTACATCAGACGGCAATTAGTCATCATGCCCAAGCAAGGCTGAAAAGAAAGGCCACATAGTAAATGTGAGAAACTACAATGAAATGAAAACGTCTAATAACCCAAGCTGTAGGGAAAGCATCAGGGATAAGGTCTGGAACATGAGCAACTGATATGGTATCCAGTAATACAGCTACAGAATTGTGTTATGATCAATCCATGTACACATCTGCGTTCGCCCAGAGAAGGGTATCAGGCCATTGACTAAGCACATCCAAAGACAAGGCTGTCCGGGATTGGAGCATCAGAGTGTTTATGACTACTTTTATCAGACATTAACTCACC